TTTTGAGATGGAGTCTTGCTCTGTGGCCGAGGCTGGGGTGCAGTGGAACGATCTCAGCTCACTGCAACCTCTGCCTCCCTGGTTCAAGCGATTTTCCTGCCTCAGCCTCCTTAGTAGCTGTTACTACAGGCGCATGCCTCCATGCCCAGCTAATTTTTGTATTTTTAGTAGAGACGGGGTTTTGCCACGTTGGCCAGGATGATCTCAATCTCCTGACCTCGTGATCCACCCACCTTGACCTCCTGAAATGCTGGGATTACAGGTGTGAGCCACCGTGCCCAGCAATTTTGGAAGAGACTATATTTTAGTCTTTCAAAAACGGATTATGCCTCATTTGACACTTGGTCTTGTTATTTATAATCAGGGCAGGAAACAGTCCTTTTGAAATCTATGGTATTAGTTTTGGTAGTAATTTACTACCAGTTAAGGGGTAGACTGCCCTATGGGAAAATGCCAACACCCTTATCCACAAGTAATTTTCCTAAACATAGGCTGTTGTCTCTTGTATAATAAGTGATTTGGAAAGTTTTCATTTGTTTAGATGTTAATATAATGAACTGTTCAGAAAGTAATACTGTTTTTGATTATTGATCTTCATTGTAAAAATAAAAGCTTTTTATGATTTAAAAAATGGTGCTGAGTTATCTAAAAATTCCAAGAAACAGCTTAAGAAAACATTTTCTGACTTAAATGGTACAGAAATTTCCTGAAAGAGTATGGAAACCTCATATTGCTATTTAAAGGAACCTATCAATTAGTGTTATTTTTTATTTGTAAGTGACAACATAAGATCCAATGTGCTGCCATCTTTGAGAACTTATCTGAAAGAGATGTCATTTCTGACAGCCCCTGCGAGGAATTGGCATCCTTAAGCAAGCCATAGACAAGATGCAGATGAATACAAACCAGCTCACCTCAATACATGCTGATCTCTGCCAGGTAAGCAGCCAACGTGTGTGATTCACACCAACTCAGAGGTGTAGGTTGTTGATGGGCTTGCTCAACATTGGGTTTGATAAACGAAGGCAAGTTGGCGGATATTGTGATGTGTTATAGAAGTCAGAATATGTAGGTACATCTGTTACATTCAGGTGGGTGCTGGATGCAAACTCTAGGATAGGGCTCAACTAGTAAGCTTGTTGAACAGATAGGGTAATTAATTCTTGTAACTTTTTTTTTTTGACAGATTCTTGCTTTGTCATCCAGGCTGGAGTGCAGTGGAACGATCTCAGCTCACTGCAACCTCTGCCTCCCGGGTTCAAGCAATTCTGCCTCAGCCTCTTGAGTAGCTGGGACTACAGGCACCCACCACCACACCTGGCTAATTTTT